TATTTTCACCAAAAAAAGGTCCTCAAGGTCAAGAAGGGAGAGTGTTGACATGTCGTGGGGTTGTTACCCATGTCATAAAACAATATGTGTACTGACTGTTTAATGAGAAACTGTTTGTTCTGTAAATCTTCATCTAAATTGCAATAAAAAACATTTAAAAAACCAAACCCCTTGCTATTGAGTTGATTGCAAATCATGGCGACCCAATGTGTTACACAGTAGAACTGTTCCATAGGGTTTTCTTGGCTATAATCTTTACAGAAGTAGATGGGCAGAACTTTCTTCTGTGGCGCCACTGGGTGGGTTCGAACTGCCAACCTTTAGGTTAGTAGTCAAGCCAAACCATTTGCACCACCCAGGGACCTTTATGTTATAATAATACCATATTAATAATGCTCAGAAATAGTGAAAACTAAACAGCACTGTGTTTTCCACACAAACTTATATATATGATAGAGGTACATCTGGGGTTGGAAGGGGAGGCAAAACAGGTAAGGAGTAGCCAGATACATTCAAGTGTTAAATGATTTTAAGCAGATTGTGGCTTCTGGCTGTTTTAAGCTTAGTAGATTATTTCTTAAATATATACTTGTGTGTATATCATGTTTGAGTGAGAAAATTTGGGAGGAGAGGAAGTGGAGACAACAGACAACTAAAGATAGGTCCATTTATACTTTCCAATTACACTTGGAAAGTTCCTTTTAATTTACTTTCTTTTTTTTCACTTGTGAAATGGTCTCAGACTTGTTTTAGTGAACTCAGCTGGATTGTTTCCTATTGTCTACTTACTCCTAAAGTTATATTTCAATATCTCCAATCATACACGAAACATTTTTGCTTAATTTGATCCTTCCTGCATTCTGTTTCACATTGGATTAATGACAAAACAGTGAAGTGTCTCATGCTTCCCTAATACTATGTAAAAAAGTTAATAAAAATTAGGGAGTTAAAACAACTCTTTGTTCAGTTTCCACATCTGTGTTTAAAACTGGACTCGACTAGGTGGTTCTTCTAGTCTCACATGGGTTTACTCATGTGGCTGCTGTCATCTGGGGCTTGACCTGTGGCAGGATCATCGAAGATGGCCTTCCATATCTTGGGCCTCATCTAGAATAGCAGGGATATTTGGGCTTCTATCCACGTGGTCTTACATCTTGGGGTTTGTCACAGCATGGTGCTCTCAGAGTTCCAAAAGAGCAAGCCCCAATGTGCAAGTGCTTATTAGGTCTCTGGCTTATGTCACATTTGCTGATGTCCCGGTGACCAAAGCATGTCACTTGGTCAGTCTGAGTCAGTATGTGAGGAGACTACACAAATTCCTGGATATTAGGAAGCATGATTAATCTATCAGTCTAACACTGCCAAATGGTTACCTTGTAGCTGTCCCACCAGTACTGTAATCCCATATTTTACCTGTATACAGGACTTCATACTGTTTGACAATTGAGTAACTTCATTTTCAATATGCTAGTAACCAAAACTACCTTTTTGTCTCTCATAAATCATAAAACTCTCACTTTTCTCACTTCTACTGTATTATAATTCTGTTCTGTCATCTTTCTGCTTCCATAACTGACAGTCATAAAAGTTGCTTTAATTCTTTGAATTTTCCATCCTCTCTTATTGATCTCCCCACATATCCTGTAGTTTTTATTTAGAAAATTGTCTTCTATATTTCCTCATATTCTTAGTTCCCATGGACACTTCCCAGAACCACATAGTCTCTCCTAATCTGATTTGTATCATTTCTAGTTAGAATTCAAATTTTTTATATATATACACATTCAGTTCATCTTGCAGTACCCAGTAAAACTAAGCCTGTGCTTTCATCTACTATAATCCTGCTCAACTCCATTTGTTTTAGTCTGCTGACCCCCATCTATCTGCTATTCTTCCTTGCATCACATCTTACATCATTGAATACTTTTCCTCTCCAAATGCTTAATTGAATAATTAGAAGTGCTTAGAACTGTGTTATCTTGCAAAAGCTTGCTATCATTACAATTATTGTGTTATTATACATATTAAATTTTAAGCTTAGTTTCCTACCACCTCCATGAAATCACCCATGAATATCTTAAGGAGCTCTGGTAGATCAGTGGTTAAGTGCTACAGCTGCTAAGCAAAAGGTTGGCAGTTCGAATCCACCAGCCACTGCCTGAAAACTCTATGGGGCAGTTCTACTCTGTCCTATAAGGTTGCTATGAGTCGGAACTGACTCAATGGCAGGGTTTTTTGTTTGTTTTTTTAAATCTCAAAATTCCCAGCCTGATTAGTGGCTGTGCCATGGAAACTCAGACTTGGTCATACACTTTAGGATTTGATAGCATATGGTTAGTACAGTGCTTCTCAACCATGGTCGATTTTGCCCCCCACCAGGGTACATTTGGCAAAATCTGGAGACATTTTGGATTGTCACAACTGGGAGAGGGATGCTACTGGCAGCTAGTGGGTAGAGACCAGGGGTGCTGCTAAACATCTTAGAATGCATAAGATAGCCCCCCACAGCAAAGAATTATCCAGTGTAAAATGTCAGCACTGCCAAGTTTGAGAAACCCACAAATGAAGTTTCTTCCTCAAAAGATTATGATCCACTGAAGGAAACGTCCTTTGTTTTACGCTCTCAGATTCTGATGTGTAATGTATATAATATATAGCACAGTCATGTTGTTAACTGACTGCAAAGAAGGCAGTGGAGAAATCTTCATATTTATTCATTCAGAAATCATTATAAGGGAACCCCTTCTAAACACATATGTCCAAGTCACACCATTGTTAATTCTTACTTATCAGGTATGACTGGCAAGAGGATAGTGAATTTCTATTTGGAAAAGGTCTCCAGGTAATTCTTGTGCACAACATATTTGAACCAGAAAAGCTTAAAAAAAATCAGATATATACTAGCATCTGCCAGGAGTCTAGGCTGTAGGAGAGCAAAGCCACATGAAATATTTAAAATCCTACCTTTAATAGAGAATAGTTGAAATATTTCATAGAATGAAAAAAAGGTGTCAGTTATAAGATAAATCATTCTGTAGGTGAAATGCCCTTTAATTAGGACATGGCATCAGTTATAAGATGAATCCTGCTTTCAGTGACAGCAAATTGTTTTTAAAAAAAATCTCAGAATAGTTGAAATACAGTGAGTTAACATTTGTTAAAAATGAATGGTATGGTTATGTTTCTGGGGAGGATGTAGTAGATCATGGCAAGCCTGCTACAACAACTAGAAAAATTTTTTAAAATGCTATTTTTAAAGGCACGAGAAAACTGGAAGCAACAAGGACTAGATGAACTAAAATTCTAGAGAGGGGAGGATTATTTGGAGCTGAGCTGAGGATTGCCTGCCAGTGTTTTCCTGGGGCATTTGCTAGTTAAATGCCTAGGTTGAGGATAGGCTCAGGTTCAATGCTGGGATAAAGAGAAACCAATGCTTTTAGTCATTATGTGGAGCTGGAATTACAAACTGTAAAGTGAGAAACCTCAAATGCACAGCAGGTTTTCTCTACAGGGCATTTGCTGAGTTTGAAGCCTGCGTGGGAGGTGGGGGGAGCTACGGTGAAAGCTTCTAAAAGGCAGAGTAAAATCACCTCCTATCTTACTGTGCTGAGGAAACAGCCACTGGGGTAGAAGATCTCCTTCAAACATTCCATCTATGTTCCCCCTTAAGAAGTTTGCCAGATACTGACGTTCTGCATATGTGGAACCTTAAAGGGATGAGAATTTTGAAGGGCAGCGTTGGTTCTCCCACAGTCTTGCACGGCTAAGAAAAACTATATGTGCTAGGTTGTCAGAAGACTGGCCACCCATGCTGGAACACTAAGAATGGACTTAAATCTTTTACTAAAACTCAAAGCCCAGTTCTGACCCACCTTGATTTTTAATAGGCTTGAGTTGATCAGCTACTCACTTGTTCTCTCTAACAGAGGAAATGGGGAATCATCCCTTGTGAAATATAACATGACCAAGGGCCTCTAAGGCTTTTAAAACAGAGTATCTAGTACACAGTAAAACGTTGCTAGACATGAAAGAGGCAAGAAAATATAACAGAAAAGTCAAAAATAATTTAGAAGGTGACCCTCAGATGATCCAAATAGTATGAGTTAGCAGAAAAGGACTTTAACCATGAGTACTATTTTAAAGAAATACATCGGGAAAGATGAATAAAATAGATGAAAAGATGGAGCATGTCATCAGAAAATAGGATTTCAGGATAGGGAGGACATTGTTACACTGAATGTAGGTAGTAGCAAGATAGTAACAGTTTATATGAATTTTTGTGATAAATATAAATGCAAAGAATATTATTAAAGATTCTAAAACCAGGTTGCAACATAATAACCCTTTAGATTCTTAAATAGTAAGGATCAGTTCTGTACCAAGGAAAAGACTGGTTTGAGGAGATAAGTGGACAAATTGAAATGTGGAAAGTTAGGATAGGGTACTCATTTTCACTTATTGTATAATTCTGATAGAATAAATCAAAGATACCACAACCAGAATTACGTAGTGAACGTAATTAGTTGCAAGGATGGATTTTCCTTTCATTTAATCATGAAGAAGTTGGTGCTGTTACAAATTTAATTTGATGTTGAATTATAGAATGGAAATGAAAGATACCAAAATTGGAAGAATGTCAACTAGTGAGTATTAGTATCTAGATAGTATAAGTACCTAAACTGTTAAGTACCTCCTCAAACCAAATGCTTCCCCCTTTGGACCTATTCCATGAACACCATTCTCTCTTTACTAAAGTTTATAGTCCTTGTTGTAATGACCCCATTCTGATTTTTCTGCTCCCTGAACTAACTAGTCCTATAAAATTCTCTAATTTTTTAAAAGGAGGAATATCAGAGGAACATTTATTCGCATACACCTATGTGTGACTTATTTAATCTTGAAGAACCAAAGAATAAAATACACAATAGGCTATATGTCTGTAAGCCCCACTCATAAGAAATGTAAGATTCATAAGATGCTTTCATTTTTTCCTATTTTAGAAGATTACAATATCAAGAGGAACAAGAAAATCAAAGATAAACACTTGCAGCAGTTAATATTTATCAATAATAAAACATTGACTAGAAAGGAAGAAAAAGTTTTGGAAGAACCATTTAATCTGCACATGGCTCCTGTTTCTTCAACAAAAATTCCCTGTAAATGTGACTCCTGGGGAATGAACTTGCAAAATATATCTGAATTTATTGTCAATAATAGGAACTATTCAGCAAAGAAAGCTGCATGTGAGAGTTTGCCTTTCCATATTAAGTTTGAGAGAACTCATATTAGAGAGAAAAATTATGAATATAATAAAAACTTGAAATGTCTCACTTATAAAGAAGATCTTCCCAAGCATCAAAGGTTTCAGGCTTTGGAACAAGGTTTTGAATGTAATAAATTTGGAAAAGCCTTCTATGATAAGGCTGACTCTATTACACATAAGAGTTGTTACACAAGAGAGAAATCCTGTAAAGATGATGGATTTAGGGTAAGCTGTGATAAGACAACTGTATTTGATCACAGGAGAACTGGCACAGGGGAGAAACACTGTACTTTTAACCAGTGTGGGAAATCCTTCTGTGAGAAGCCATCTGCTGTGAAATACTGTGAATGTAATGAGAGTGGAAATAGTTTCAGCAGGAATTCACACTTCACTCCACTTCAGAGAACTGTTACAGGAGAGAATCCATTTGTACATAGTGACAGAACACAAACTAGGGATAAATTCTTTGCATATAATAAAAATGGGAAATCCTGCCCAACATTAGCCCACAAAGTACGCCAGCGAACTCACTCAGAGGTAAAGTCCTATAAATGTGATGAATGTGGGAAATCTTTCTGTCAAAAAGGACATCTCATTCAGCATCAGAGAACTCATACAGGAGAGAAACCATTTGAATGTAATGAATGCGGGAAAACTTTCTCCCAGAAGTCACACCTCAGTACACATCAGCGAATTCACACAGCAGAAAAACCCTATAAATGTAATGAATGTGGGAAAACTTTTGTCCAGAAGTCAACCCTTAGGGGACATCAGAGAATTCACACAGGGGAGAAACCTTATGAATGTTGTGAATGTGGGAAAACTTTTGTTCAGAAGTCAACCCTCAGAGATCATCATAGAATTCACACAGGAGAGAAATCCTTTCAATGTAATGAATGTGGGAAAACTTTTGGCCAGAAATCAAATCTTAGAATACATCAGAGAACTCACAGTGGGGAGAAATCTTATCAATGTAATGAATGTGAAAAATCCTTTTGGCGAAAAGACCATCTCATTCAACACCAGAAAACTCACACAGGAGAGAAACCATTTAAATGTAATGAATGTGGGAAGACTTTTGCCCGGACATCAACCCTGAGAGTACATCAGAGAATTCACACAGGAGAGAAACCATTTAAATGTAATGAATGTGGGAAGAATTTTGTCCGGAAGGCAATCCTTAGTGATCATCAGAGAATTCATACAGGGGAGAAGCCCTTTCAATGTAATAAATGTGGGAAAACTTTTGGCCAGAAGTCAAACCTCAGAATACATCAGAGAACTCACAATGGGGAGAAATCTTACATGGATGTAATGAGTATGGAAAACAATAGAAGTGGATCCTAAATGTATGCCAGGGAATTCAGGGAAGGTTGAACCCCTATTGATGTAATAAATGTGGAAAATCCTTTTGGCAAAATGTCCACCTCATTTGACATCAGAAAACTCAAATAGAGGAGAATGGACCGAATATAGGAAAACTATCCTAGAAGTGAATGTTTGCAACAGATGAGAAAATTCACACAGTAGAGAAACCCTACGAATATAATGTATAGAAAGAATTCTGTCTAAAGGGAAACCCTTAAGTGTATATCAGGGAATTCACACAGCTTCTATTTCAAGGTACTATGGAAAGTCCTCTAAATAAAGTCATGTGCTATTCAGTAACTCACACACTCACACAGGCTGGTAGCTTGTTCACAAGTAACCATTTCATTTTCCTCTAGGCACATAGCTAGTTTAAATTTCCAAATTTCCCTTGCATCCAAGTGGGGCTGTGTCGCTGGCTAGTGAAATGTGAGTGCCAATGATGTATGCTACATTCAGGCCTGGCAAAGATTTCCCTCACAAATTTCCAACCCTCTGTCAGAATAAAACAGCAATAATTTCCAGGATAACCTTGGGTACTATTTAATGGCAAGTATTGACACAAAATGAAAGAAGCCACGGTCCCTGCATGAATATGTGGAGCAGAATTCTCTTTCAGATCTTCACTAGTTGAACATTCTTTGACAGTAAATAAGCTGCTATTCTGTTGAGTTCTAATGTGTTCAAATCTATTTCTTACTGCACATAATTTAGCCATCTGTCTCAGGCTGAGTCCTCTAGCAAAGCAAAACCAGTGAAGTGTATATATATATCTATAGATTTATATCAATGAAATGGTTCACGTGGTTGTAAAGGCTGGGAAGTTCCAAGTCTGTGGGTCAGGCTGGAGGCTTCTCCTGACTCAGCCACAGGGCTTGGTGAACTCAAGATCAGCAGGTCAGATGGCAGGCTGCTGGCTCACAAGCTGTGGAGGCTGACAAATCCTAAGATCAGCAGGTAAGCTGCAAACTCAAGTCCCAAGAACCAGAGGTCAGATTGTGAGCCAGATGCAAGTAAAAGCCTGTGAGTTTTGCAAGAAAGTCCACATATATTGGACACAGGCCACACCCCCAAGGAAACTCCCTTTCAACTGATTGGCTGCTCATAGAAGATCTCATGGAGGTGATTACACCATTACATAGCTGCCAAACTACATCATAACTGCCAAACCACTGAGAATCATGGCCCAGTCAAGTTGAAACACAACCATCATACCATCCTGCTAGGGAGACAAAAACAGCTTTGTGAGCCACACCTGAGTCAGCCACAGGGCACAAACCTTAATGAGGTTGCTGACTAAGGGGGTCCTTCAAAGATCAGAGAATTCATGCAGGAGATATCCTTTCAATGTAGTGAAATAAATGGTGCCAGTAATGATGACACTGCCACCAGATACAGGGTTTTGGATTGGCCTAAAACAAGTTTATTATTTTGTTGTTGTTGTTGAATGGTCAGTAACCACCATGGAGCTTGAAACCAAAAGTAATTGTGCTGTAATGGCACAAATCTACTCTCCCTCCACACTTCCTGATATATTTGTATACCCTCAAACTTAGCTGTCTTAAGAAGAAAGATGTTCCTCTGTCTCCAATTATGCTGGGAAACTTGGGGGGAAAACCAAAAACTCATTGCTGTCAAGTTGATTCCGACTCATAGTGACCCTGAAGGACAGAGTAAAACTGCCCCAGAAAGTTTACATGGAGCAGCAGCTGGTGGATTCGAACTGCTGACCTTTCGGTTAGCAGCTGAGCTTTTTATGGCTTTTCTGAATTTAAGTGCCCAAGTCAAACATCTCAGCTGTTTCTATAGAGACAGGGAGCATGTGAATTCAGCTAATGGCATTTGGGGACTTCGAGACCTTCTGGATTGAGCCCTTTTAAATAGTACACTGTACTGTGGTTACTTCTACATCTAAAAGCATAGTAGGAATTACTGGTATATGCTGTACTTCTCCTTCCCATAAGTTGTAGAGGGCATTCTCCCAATCAGGAAGAGTTGCATGTAAAGAAATACTTTTGAGATACCACAGCTCTGATGAGCATTTTGAGCTTCAAGTCTCTGTGCCTGATGATTTTATTTATTGGAATCTCTGGTAAAAGAAGGATGTCCTTGTGGGAGGGGGATGGTTTGATTTGATTCCCTAACAGAGCTACCATGTACACCCCTTTTGAAAAGCATCTATTTAGCTTACTCTTGGGCTCTTTTAGACATCACACACCTGATAATGGAGGCATCTGGCCTCATATTCCCATTTTTGGGTTTGTCATCTGGACTGAGTGATTAACAAGGTGGGAAGGACCCAACAAGGCTTGCTTGTGAAATGGTTCGGGATTACACGTGTCCTAGCCCCGTCAGTATCTCAGCTATGCATGAGAAAGTAACATCTATCCCTTTGAAGGGATCCCACTTCATTGCCTGAAACAAAGCCACTGGTCAAGCTGAAATCACTGGGATGCTGTAACTGTTCAACCTCAGTACCAGTATGCAAAATCTAAAGTGGATATGGTCACTCCTTTCAGGCAGAACACAAGGATGTTCTTGGCTCTGGCCAATATTCCCCTTGATGAACATTGTTGTATTTTTATTGGTTCTTGGATTCTTGGCAGTGACCTAGCTGCTTGGCCTGCCAGTTGGAAGACTACAGACTGACAGATTAAAAGCACTCCTCTTTGGGGCTGAGAACTGTGGGAAAATATCATGGCTGCTAAGCATACTGGTCTAGGTCACTCATATGGTAGGAGACTATTCTATGATGAGACTAATGAATCAGTCTGCTGATTGAGCATTCACCGCCCAGATTGCCACTGTTGCTATCTGGATCCATCGTTGTACTGGTATGGCAAAACCTCCACCATCTTAGACTGGGTACAAAGTAAAGGTCTCCATATATCTGATATTTCCTTTGGTGTCGTGGTATCAGAATCCACCATTTTTTTCCTTCTAGATGAATCGGCAATGATCCACATACCATTTGGTTAATTCACCGTTTACCTTTCCCACTGATTTGAAATATTCCTGTACTAAAGTACCATTTGTAAAGATATGCATATGGCTGCTCATTCCCCACTCCCTGTATTCTTCTAGTAACAGATCCTCCCTTTGTGACAACAGGGCTGGCACATACCTTGTATGGGCCAAAATCATCCATCCTGATGTGATGTTGAGTGTTTTAAAGAAGGCTATTTTCATGAATTTAGAAAATAAGAGGCTTTCCTAGGATTTTGGAAGTGGTATGACATCACAGACAAGTTAATGACCCTAGTGCTGCCAGCAACCTTGCCAAGAAAAATGCAACTAAAATAGGGTAAAAAAAAAAAAAAGTTATACATACAGAGAAGCAGATGAGACAGACAGGCTGATGGTACACAAGTTCAGTTAATGTTGGACTCCCTGAGAATCAAAATATCACTATTTTAATTAATCTCGTTTTGTAACACTTGATAATATAAAGCAACTCTTCCATTCTTTTAAAATAATAGTCTTGGTTTTTTTCAAACACTTTTTCTTAAAGAAGATACTTAAAATCATCACCCTGTCCTTTTAAAATATAATATTTTAGGAATATTATTGAATTTGGTATTAAATTCAGGGCCGGGTACCCAACAGGATTGAACCAATTCACCCAGGTGTACTGAGTCATTCATTGGGAGACCAGGTGACAAAGCCCCATGGCTGGGCACTCAGGTTTTACCTGCCCCCCCCCCCCCGCAGGGGTAGACTTGCAAGACATCTTTCCCTATACCAAATCATCAACTGGAAACAATGGTCTGTTCTAATCATGAATTCTTCCTTCCGCTCCCTGCCTGGTTGATCCTTCTTAACATGTCATGGTCTTCTATTCCAGCATATAGGTGCCTCATCTGGAAACCTAGGAAATCTGCCAAGGGTCTTCAAGCTAATAAAGGTAGAAAAGAAGGCTCCACGAAGGCAATAATTTTGGTCTGTTCTATTCATAATGTATCTCAAACATATGAAACACCACCTCTACATATTAGGCAAAAAGAAATATTTGTTGAATGTACAATTATAAAACTGAAATTCAAATACATTTTTCATTTTATTGCTGTACGTTATCTTTCCAGATGTTTCATCATTGATTATACTCAAGGAAAATTATTGCTGTAAGCTCCCCACTCAAAGACTTTATTGTTTTAGATATTTTCTAAATTTGTGAAACTTTTTACTTGTTCTTAATACCCAGTAGTGTATAGTACTGGTCTTCAGATATTTGTCAACTGAGAGAATTCATTTTAAATAAAGATTCCCAATTCAAACTTACATCTACATATCTAATCAGTTTTTCATTAGCATTGTTGATTTGATTGATTTTTGCTTTGCTTCCCACAAATATTTTGTAAGTACCAATCCAAGCAATTTTACAAAACTCTTAACAATGGTAAAGTCAGATTTCCAAAGATCAACCGAATGTGCAAAGGACTTGGTTGCTGGAATCACTGCTTGAATCCATTTTACCAGTAGTTCCCTTTTACTTCCAAATCATCCCCCTTGCAGTTTCAAGAAAGTAAGTTGTTATTTTGGCAGGTTACAGAATCTAGTCCCTGGGAGAGGTATCTGACCCCCAAGGAAAGAGCAAAACACTGTACATTCCTACCTATGTTTTACTTTCCTTGCCAAGTATGTAATGGCTTTTCTCTCATATTAAAGGTCTCTATGGAAGCTCAGGAGAAATAGTATATATATTCTGTCCTTCTACCAGAGAACCTTCATACTATGATGGGGAAGAAACGAATCTGTGTTTTTCTAACCAGATAGCACAGTCGCCAAGTACCATTAGCCTGCAGGCAAACTGGCTATTTTAGTGATCTTCTGGTGCTCTAATAGAAGAGACTGCCCATCTGACAGAACAATAATAATTAACCTTCAGCTGACTAACCCTTGGTGAATAATTAATCCTATTAAACTAAAAAACTAGCTAGCCTGACATCTTGGCAAAAGATGCCTGTAAACAAGTTTCTCAGAGTGATGAACTTGATCGGTCGTATTTGCTCAGGCTGAATGACATGTTCAGGACAGGGAGTGTGAGCACTGTTGATGAGTATTTCTCATTCTTGGTTGGTTCCTTATTTACCAAATGTGAGCCTCTAATGCACAAATTCTTAATAATAAAATAATCTCTCAAACAGCAGGGGTAAAGAGGCTACTTTTTTTTTTTAAAGAAATATTCTTCAAAGAGCAAAAAGAATTGAGATGTCAATGTTTTAACAGCCCCTCATCATGCCTCGTCCTTCCTGTCCTCAATAAAATTTAGTCCTCTCTTGCCCAGTACATATACTCAGGGGC